TTTACAGAGTTCAACTTTGAAGAGAACAATAGAAGTATTTATGGTTCTCTTTCTATTTGTTTTATATGGCTTTTGATAGTCAAGTACGGGATGATGTTCCCACAGAAGAATGTCATGAAGATGACTACTGAAACTATGCAATGCGAAATGGAAAGGAGGTTTTAAATTTTAAGTAGATTCGAGGGTTGCCCTTGATGTGTATTTTGATAAAGCAGCAGAGTAATTTTGATTGAGTATCATGCTTTTCAGTGCGCAGTCAAGTGTATTCAAAGCAATTTTCAGAAGTATCACATAAGTCATTCCTTCAAATATTAAATGTAATGTTCAAGTTATTAAACTGCCAATGAATGAGTGAAATATGACACATCATGACATTGAATATAAACTTTAGCTATGGTCAATATAATCTATCTGCGATTGGGCATGCAAATTATCATCAACAAAATTTTCTCCTTTTGGTTCATTGCCCATTAATGGCTGCCTAACTCCACTTGTGTGGTTTCTTCGCAGATACAGGAGAACATCAATCTCTTTTGCCAAACTCGTGATAACATCCTCAAAATTATGAACAAGTACGTTCTAAACTTGTGCTTGATATGCTACAGGATTGGTAGTGTTCGTTCCAGTCTTCTCTGATGTGTTTTCTTTTTCAAAAGACGAAGATAAACTTTTTGACTAATGCAATTTTCTTTTTAAATCTACTTTTAGCTCTAAGCCTGTCCCTGCTTGGAACTGCAATAAATTTTCTAGTTCTTCCAGATTATGGTAGGGATAGAATGACCACAAAATCTGGCAGTAAAGTAAAATTTGTAGTTTAGTTATGCTTAGTGCATATGCACTTTGCTGGCAGCCAATTATAGTAAAAGTTTAAGTTGATAAAAAATATATAATTTATTATTTATGCATTAACACGACACAGTTTCATTATACGTCATGCAAAATTGAACTTTTATCAAAAAATAGAACACCAGTAGTTGAATACTGAACTTATAACTCTTATACCATGGTATATAGTTGATTGCAACCTTTTCCTGTAGCAAGAACACTCATCTGATCTTCGTACATATCGCTTATTTTCAGCTTGAATGACATGCCAGAAATGACGAAGCAGATGCCACCACTTCCAGTGAAGGTAAATGAAGAACTGGCTAACACCATCCTTCCTCCTCCAACAAATCTTGCAATGCAGTCATGATATTGCCTTCTCCATTTCCATCTCTGGTTTTCTATTCTGTTGACTATACATATGTCATCATCAACGTCAACCGCATGAAATAACTGTACGTCAAGTTAACTGGTCTTTTTCTGCTTTATGTGGAGAAGTGCCTATATACGGGCATCATCAACCTCAGTGACAAAAAATAACTGCCGATCAAGTTGACTGATCTTTTTCCTGTTTTTTTTCTGGAGAAGCTGTTTAGTCTTTTTTTTTTTATTCTTCTTTTCTCTTATTTTTTGGTTAACTACATATGGTATAAAGGGATGGGAGAAACAGTTCAGTCAATATAATTAATTCTTTTGCTTGGCCCTTTGACTTTTCTATATAAATCTCTTCTGTGCTAAACTTTTGGAAAATCTCAGGTACAGAGATTTAGTTTTCAAACCTTACTTCCTGTACTATTTCTGCTAATTAAATTGAGCATGAAGTAAAATAAATTTATGTATGACCTATGCTTTTAATCTTAGTGAGATTGTGCATGAGATGGTACATTAATGTAGAAAAAAAAAATAGATTTGATTTTTTCAGCATTTAGATTGATGGAGCAGGGTTTCTTTATGGAATAATTTTTCACTGGTGTTATATTCCTAGATTTGTTTGCTTTTCATTTATGTTCGTTGTCTAAAGAGATCTCCAACAGTAATAGTATATACATAGCAATTATAATGCAATATAGTAACGAATAAACAAGAGTGTATAATTTAACTTGAATTATACTTTCGTTTAGAAGAAACTACTAAGTATATATTCAATTTGTGGGTAATCCAAAAAATATCATGTTTATTTTAGTACTAATGATCATTACAGTACTAATAGTCGTTAAGTATCTTCCTGAGCCCATCTCGTCTATTTTGTGTTGGTTTCTTCTGCGTTGTTGATTTACTTCATTAAATCTTCCAACATGTATTTTTTGACCCAATTTCACCTCTTTAAATATTTTTGAGATGAAAAATGTTGCATATCTAGTCTTATGGTTAAGCTTGGGTTTGGTACATTGTTATTTTTTGTTTAAGTGTGACATCCAAGATGTCCCGTGACACACATCTCATATCTAAATACATAATTTACAAAGTCCTTCACATCAACTACATTTTATGTATTTAAAATCATCGGAATTAACTAACAATATATTTATCCTTCAAATTCAATTCCACCATAACATGGAAAATCAACAAAAAAAGTTCATGAAATATTCCCAATCACTACTTGAGTATCAAATGAACAGGCGTTACACATTTATCTCTTTAATCTCTAGCTTTTCCTAGGGGGATCTCTCAAGTTGGAATTTTGGTTCCCCCTCTAGTTTATTGCATCTACAAATGACATACAATGAGCAACCTAAACCAGTATAATAATTCAAACTCAATATGACATGAAA